AAAGTATTTCCAAACATATATCTCGATTTTACAAGAAAGCGTAAGCTGTTTTGGATAACTTGGTTCACAAGAGTTCACAGAGGATATTATTGCGAGGTATGTTTTAGCGTCTTGCTCTGAATCACTTGGTAAAACCAAAATGCAGTAGTGCGAGTCACTTCTTACTAGGGAGAATTCCCTACCTCTGGAAATTTCAACTACATTTATTTTATCAATTACAACTACAGTATATACATCTACATCCTTATTTGTAAAGATCTGTTACTTAGGGACCGGTCATAAATTAAGGGGGGGGGTGGGCTATGAAATTTTTTTTTAAAGTACTGGTTTTCAGTGGCCCACCCCCGGGTTATTTGACAAAATTGGAGCGGCCCACCCCTGGAGTGGCACAGAAAAACCAAGTGACCCACCCCTCAACTAACATCAGTAATGTGGATAGCTACATGGGGAACATTGGCTTACCACTTAAGTCACAATCTCCAAAAAGTCTTCGAGATCGAACTGTTGTAACACGTCGTCCCACTCTTGAACAGAATTCACCCTCTATGCGTGAACACTGTCATAGTCATCGTCGTCATCCCCTGTCTCTTCCTCGTGTTCGCCATCATGCAGATTAACATTTTCTTCCACGTTAACCTTTCTCGCAGCTTGCTCGAGGGTTGCCTTGTCAAGCTGGGCTTTGGCTAAACAAGGTGAAATTAATTCTAGCTTCTCATTTTTCTTCATTTTCTTATCCCCCAGTTGATGCTTTTCCAGAGAGAGATTCAGAGCTGATACTTTAAGCTTTTTCAGTGTCCCTGCAATGAATATCTCCTCCCGGTTGTAATCAGCGTACTTCTTTTGGGGGTCAGTTTCTCTCTGACGTTTTCTGTCATCTTTTCGTTTTGATTATTCACTTCAAGATATTGGAGGTGCTCAAGGTACTTTCGCACGAGTAATTCCTGAACAGCAAAGGTCTTGGAAAACTCAACAATCGATTCACTGTCTTCCACGGTTAGTTTTTCTTCTTTTACATACCTTTTAATCTGAGCCCTTGGTTGATAATCATCGATCTTTCTGAGGTGTCCTTCTGGTGAAGTGATCGGGGTTTCGACAAATGATAAATATTTCAGATCTGGTAGAGCAGTTTCATCAGGCTTTGGACGTGGTAATCCAAATCCCCAATCAGTATGAGCTAAATTTCTTAATAAAGATGTCCTACCTTTTTTTATGAATGCCAATGGAAGTGGTCGAGAAATGCACGAGATTTTGTGAAAAATTCCTTTCTGAAGGCAGACGCCAGTATGACCTTCACTACCAGCTGTCAGCTATGTCATTGCAAGCAGCAATTCCAGAGAGGGATTTAGAGGCGGAACCATTTAAGTCTACCAGCCGCCAAACAATTAATTACAAGATTAAAAAACTTCAGGATTTGAAGGAGAAATCTGAGAAGCTCAAGAGTAGCATCCAGAAAGAGAATGCCCAGCGGTTCAATAAAAACTCTGAGAAAATCATCAGTGGACAAGGGTAAAGACTTGTTTCCATATCTCAAAGTGCCCTTGGACGTGAGGTGCCTGGGAATGAAATTAAATCACTGGAATATAATTAGCGCCGAACTACCGACGATTTACGACTCCGAACGTTCTCTGTTCTTGCTGTGCACAAATTTTAAGTCTAATTCGTATGTGTTTTGAGTCAAGAGAAAACATCTGGCTTAGTAAACATCACATCCAGCATGGTTCTGTCGCTTAAGGTTTATTTTCGCCGATAAAAAAGAAATCAAAGACACTAAAACTCAAAGGCGGTTTCAACTGTGGAAACGAGTAGCTGCACGATGGATTTGCTTTGTTTCCATAGTTCAAACCGCCCTTGTGCCCTTCCAGAATCGGTTTCCGGTTCCGGTATTGAAAAAATGTTTCGCACTCTTTTTTCAAATTCACCAGAAAATAATAATCTAATGTCTTAGTTTCTTTAGTGGAGTATATTTGGGCAATGGCAGGCGATGCAGATGTTGCATCTCAATTATCGGAAATTTTCGATGTACGTTTATTCAGCAAGTCCGGCTACGTTTACCAATCTTACAAGATCGACGAAATTGTCAAATGGGAGTTGTGTACAAATTCTTCGTTCACTCTTTGGGTGGTGGAGGACAACTTTGGGAGTATCGGTAAAGTCTGACGGTGCAAATAAGCCAAATTCTGTGTTATTCACCCATCTATTTGTCTAGGTAATCACATGATTCTGAGTACAATTTGGAACAAATAAGCACGAGTAAATTTTTTCAAAGACTAACAAAATTGCATGAGCCCGTAGGGTTCATGCAATTTTAATTAAAATCCCCTGATGAGTGCGCTACCACTGTAGGGATGAAATGTAGCTGATTTTTTTCTACTTAACACTCATTATATACATATATGTATATATATAAATTGGTATTAATAACAGAGAATGACTGTGAATAAATGGACAGCATGTAACAGTAATGCAATTTGTAACAATAGCAATAATAATGATGATGACGATCAATAAGGTTACAAACATGGGGGAGATTAAGAAGACACTTCTTAAATTCAACCATAGTATTGGTCCATCAAAGTAAATTTCTTTAGATAATGATTCACATAAAAAAATGTTACACTTCTGATAAGCTGAAAACGAGTGCATTTCATAAGGGCAAAGTTGCAACACGACTGGACTTTCTCTTCTGCTCTACATTCAATCCTTGAGTATTCTATGGTCTGTCTCGTCCGTACAGGGCATCTCATTACATACGTCCTTTGAAGGATGGGGAGAATTTGTGGTTTTTTCAAAGTCAGTCAGCAAAACATCGGAACAGTTGCTGATTCAAGCAGCCGGTCCAGAACTCCTAATAAGTGATTTATTCTGAATAACATTAACTATTAATTAAAATATAGATAGATTTTATTTTTAAATGCAGGGTTCTCAATAAGTTTTGATGTAGACGGCTGAAATATATTTGTAATTGCCCCGGGCAAAATTACTTGAAAATGATTGGCTGAAAATCGCTTAGCAACGGCTGCCAAGGTAAAGAAATTTCTGTTTGTTTTGTAACAATGGCGTCCCGTTTTGCGCGAGATCAGTAAGAAAACATTTTGCCCCTTATATTATAAACAAGTAATCACATGGTTCCTTGTAAAATTAAGGATTAATATCACTTATGTTTTCGGAAGTTGCAGAAACTGCCCTCGTCGCTGCGCGACTCGGGCAATTTGAGCAACTTCCGAAAACACGCGCGATATTAATCCTTAATTTTACTCGGCCCCATGCGATTACCTATACACATTTTAACCGTCTCCGGCGATAGATAATAATCAGATATAAACCGATCCGTTAAAACAAATTTAAATATTTAATGTTTAACAACTTTTTTCCGTCGACCACTGCCCAACAGTCTGCTCCAAGGCCAAGGAAAACGCACTGAAAACTTCAGCTTTTCGGTAACAATTTAGAGCTAAATTGAAATGTAACTTGTGAGCGCTTTTGATAATTAAGTCATACACTCAGTGTAATAAGATGAATTCATGGAATAAATTTGACAATTAAGTCGTACACGTAGTGTAATAAAATTAATTCATAGAATAACTTAGTAAAAACATCTAGGAAAAGTGTTTCGGAAGACTGTCCATTCGGAACGTTAAAGCTTTCATGAAACCTCAGTATATAAATATTGATGTAAGCAACATAAAAAATACATATTCCAGCTCAAAGAGATTGTGACCAAGGGATAGCTACAAAACAAAAACAAAGAAAACCTTTCGCAACCTTTAGTAGAACCCAAATGAAGAAATGACTGCTTCTCGCACGAAAACTTTTGGAACAATGGTGCTAACACTACTTTCCTTTTCCTTTTTCAGCTTTATATAGGAAAAGGCTAACTGTTTCATTTGAAAAATACTCGTTGAACACTACCAATTATTCTACATGACACCTAAAATAGATATCCAACACTTTTCAACAGCAAGTCTAAAAATATTCACTAAACAATCTTAAAAAGCGCGTGTATGCACAAGAAGTTGCTCTAGCTTTAGATACTTTCTACAGCACATGATCATGACCTGACAAATGGTAAATGCTATGTCACTGATTTCAAATACGATTCAAAGTACAAACGACGTAGAGTTACACAATAGAGTTCGTGGTATTAAACTTTCTCTCCAGATTTACACCAATTACAAATGATCCAGCGCGTCCTCGAATACTTCGTCACCGTCATCACTCTCCTCGCCATCTTCTACTTCAGTCAATTCCTGAAATACAGGAAAAAAGAAAAAATTAACAATTTTTTAACAGCGCGTTCTACTCATTGTTAACGAAGAATTGAGCCTTAAAACTTACAGTGCTGCTTGAACCAAAATCTTCCTGCACAGTATCCGCACATGCGGCACTGTAAGAACTTTCCACAAGTTCGGCTCTCCTCAACATCAATTCGTTCACCATTGCCTGCACCATGAAATTTTCAGGAAAAAAATGACCAGTCAGTAACAAAGTCGACCTAAGCAGGAACAGCAATAACCAGACGGAATAATGAGAACCAAAAGTTAGCAAAGAAAGCGCCCAGAAAAGACAGTCAAAACAGCACGCTGAACGTAGCTTGTAACCTTCCACTACATTGCATGACCGAGAGGCGACATTCATTTGACTCTCTAAGGGAGCGACGATTTATCTGCAACTCAATACACGATATACCATTTAGGTGTCTTCAATGTCCAAAACTCATCTCACCTTAAACAGGCTACAATCCTCTACTTCTCTTCTTTTCCGTTTTTCTTTTGCAACTTCCAGTTTCATTCTTTTTACTTCATCTGTCTCCGCGTTGTTAAAAGCTTGTGCAAGTTCTGTCATCCTCTGATCTAACAATGTTTCACTATCACGCCTCATACACTCACGTTCCGCTTTAAGTTCAAGTTCACGTTTGTGTGACTGTCGGACCTCTTCAACGGTCTGTTGCAGTTCCTGAAAAGAACCACTGTTAACTATAGTCTGCATTCCTTACTGAATACCAAATCACTGAGTAGTGCTAACATCTGGTACTTTCAGGGTTTACAGATGTGCATCTAGCGCGATACCTCAGCACTACACATGTATACCTGCATACAACATTCACATATAGGCACCACTCCCTTCGATTCAACAAGGATTACAAGTTTCTTCGCTCAAAATCAATCCACTAGGTAAACAATCTTTACAATATTAAAATATGGGAAAAGTTCTCATAGTTACATGATCAATGCTTTATTTTCCATTCCTTAAGAAAAATCTTCGTTTATAATAATTCTCTTCTTTCAGGAAAGCGTGGATGGTTTCTATCCTTTACCAAGTGCAACTAATTGTGGTTATCGAGTTAAAGTGTACTGATAAAGGGTCAACGTTTTTGAAAATGAGTGTATACGTGTGTACATCTGCTGGTGTTCCTAACGTTTTAAAAGTAGGCGTGTCCATACAAAATAACCAAACAACTTTTTACTTTGCCATAAGTACTCATAAATTGTTCAATCTGCTACTAAACGCAAAAATCCTAACATTTCCTATTCACTTCAAAATGCAAATTAAATGATGACTTAAATCAGATCGTACCTCAGAAAGTTCTTGACTTTCCTTTCTCAGATTCGTCATTTGGGTCTGCGTACATTCTCTTCTTTGGTCCACTTGATTGATCCTCTTCAATGAAAAAAATTATAGAAAAATTCAACAAACAAGAAAGAAAACAAACAATCACACACCCAAAACTCAAATAAACCGTGTGACTTCACTATAAGAGGAGGTGGTAAGAAACATAACGAGAACCAAAAGCCACACCCATGGCTTTTCAACGTATACAAAAAAATATCAAATAGCAAACCGCACCTGTATATACTCCCCTCTAAGTCTTTCAATTTCCTTGCAAAAAAAAAGGTCACAATAAGCAAACAAGTACAATCAAGAACAAGCAAAATTAAACTATTTCATAAGTAAAATAAACGTAATATTACTGTTCACTACTCTTATGGATAGTGATTTAGCATATCATTCCTGCAAAACTTTTTGGCAAACTTTTTTAAATATACCACAGAATGTCCAATAGCAAAACTTACCTGCCTATGTTCTCCGCTAAGTCTTTCGATTTCCTTGTAAATAAAAGTCACAATCAACTCACAAATACTTTTTAAGACAAGCAAAATCAAACTATTTCAAAAGTAAAATAAATGCAATATTACAGCACCCTACTCTGGTGAAAAATGTTTCAGTAGAACGTTCTAGCCAAACTTTTCCAAGTGGCAATTTGCACTTTCATGTGTTTTGTCCTTAAACTAGTTAGTTTTTGATTTACAATTTTGAAAGAGCAAAGGAACAAAACTATCAATGTCTAACCTTACCTGTATATGCCCTCCCCTTTGTCTTTCCATTTCCTTGTAAATAAAAGTTACAATCAACTTTAACAGTACATCTGAGACCAGCAAAATTAACCTATTTCAAGAGTAAAATACATGTCATAGTACAGCCCATTGCTAAGGTGGAGAATGATGAAGAATACTTTTCTTACCAAAATTTTGGCAAACTTTTTACATATACCTCAAAATATCAAATATCAACCTTACCTGCATAGGTTCCCTTCTTAGTTGTTCAATTTCCTTGCAAAAAAAGGTACATCAAGTTACGAGTACATTTAAGACAGGCGAAATTAAACTAGTTCACAAGTAAGATACATAAGATACATATTACAGCCCACGACTCTGGTGGAAAATATTCAGAATAATGTTCCTGCCAAACTTTTCCAAGACTTAAGTGTTGTTTTTTTCTCAAACTACTTAGATACTTTAGGATTTACAAGTTTGTAGGAGCAAAGGAACATACATTTCGATGCATATTAACGATTAGAGACAAAAATTAAATAAGTTAATTTGGACGATAGAAATAGCAAATATTAACATACTTTAAAAAAGGTGAAAAGCATTCAAAGCCCACTCTGATTGGCTACTTTAACTCTAAAAACCCTTACTATTTATTTTGATTATCCATGCAGGAATACATCAGAAAATTACCTTTTTGTGCTATATTATCTGTGGTGTATTATGCTGGGAAATATAGAGATGATTAGGGGATAGCCCAGGAGAGAGCAAGGAGTTGAGGAGTTTAGGATGGCAATGCTATGTTCGGTTGTTGTAATCTGGTTTAATCCGTAGCTTGAATGGGTATATTTAGACTCTACATTCTCTTACTGTTTTGGCATAATTATACTAAAAGAACAATTCACCTCAGTGTTGGAGGCTAGTGGTAGATATTTATCTTGCCTCTTTGCAGGTCGGTAAACATCTACCACTACGCACCTCCACTTCAGTGAATAGTTTTAATTTTATTTTTATTGTTAAAGGAAGTTCAACCAAATGCCTCCCTATTTATCAAAACTGCTAGATAAAGTTTCCATGAAAGTTCTTTGCAAGGCCTCCTAAAAGAGAGGACACAGGCCTTTTTTTCCAACAATAGAAATGCTCCTATTATTATTGCATGTTGTAAAATTTACCCTGGCCATTCTTTCGTTATCCTGGTCTTTCTGGTCACACAACTAAAACAAATAAGGCAGATTAACCATGTGACAAGAATCAAGGCTACAATTAGCCATAAAAATTTTAAGTGCAGCAGTCTGCTCAAGTGAAAAGAAAAAAACAAACAAACAAACAGACAAAAAAGAAAAAACAAGGAAATGAGAAAACAACTACACCCTTTCTGTAATGTGCTTAATTTTCAAGGTGAATTACTTGGCATGTGAAAAATGCAGCTTTATTTGAAGGTTGTGAATAAAGCAGTACTATTCCAATTATCAACATGGAGTCACGACCATGGCTTTTCACATTGAGACACATTTCTGGCATGGCACAGGTAAATGATTCATTCAGACTGCCACCTGGTGAAGCTATAATCAGCCAGGGATGAATAACTTCAACCCTTAATTCTTTCAAGCACATTTTGTGGTAAAAGTATAAAACTTGAGGTGATAAATTGTATGTTGTAGCTGATTTTAAGCTCTTTTTACAAGGGGATACAGACCCTTTTTTTTCCAAAAATAAAAATGCTCCTGACCAATTATTTTGGTTGACTATTTCTGTTATTTATGGGAAACCTATGAATCCAATAGTGAAAACAATTACCTGTGTCAGTCTTTCATTATCCTGGTCTTTCTGGTCACACAACTACATAAAAATAAGGCAGATTAGGTAAGCATACCTATGTTCAGCTTCAAAGTTACACTCCTTTTTCAAAAGAAAATTTCTTATTTCAGCAATCCACTAGATTAAAACAAAACAAACAAAAACAAAGACACCATTTTGGCACTGGGTTTAAGGTGATTCCTCAGTATTGATTAGTGCCAATTCAGGCATAAATGGGTTGAGTTTGGCCCATCTACCTCCTAAACAAGCATGGTGACCTAGATTTTTTACTTAACTTTTGAAACAGATGTTGGTATGGAACAATAAGGAAAGATTTTTACAAAAATTGTTTGATAACTTTTTTTCTGAGGAATTACCTTAATCTTTGGGAGGCAGTAAGAAAAATGAAGCTTTGTTAAAAGTATATAAATGAAATGATACAATTCTAATTATCAACATGTACAGGGTTTAAACCCTTTTTCAGAAACAAATTCAAGGACTTTGCCAGGATTCAGATTCATTTTTCCAAGACTTCCAATTTCACCTTGAACCCTTTTTCAATATTTCAAAATAAAATCTCCTTACAGTCAGTATACATTTGTTGTAGGATAAACTCTTAAAACTTTCTTGCTTGAGTTAAGAAAATCTCCAGGACTTTCCAGGACCTGCGGTCTTTTTCTAGGACTGGAAATGTTGAAATAAACTTTAGGGACTTTCAAGGCTTTCCAGGACCCATACAAACCCTGCACAGAATCATAAACATTGCTTTTGATTTTGAAACACATTTCCTGAGCGGCATAGATAAAAGGATTCATTCTGCCACTTGGTAAGCCACAATGTATAACCTCAACATTTCCTACAAATGTATTTTGCAATAAAAATCTAAAACTTGAATTGTGATAACTTGTGTGCCATGGCTGAAGTTAAACTTTTCTTAAAATGTGATAAAGACCCTTTTTCCAACAATAAAAATGCTTCTATTAAATCTATTGCCTATTTCTTTGAATGAATGGACACCCTGAATCAAATGTTGAAAAAATTTTCTTCCACAAGTCATTCATTATCCTGGTCCTTTAATTAGGTCACACAACTATAATAATTATTGTAAATACAAGTAAGGTAGATTAGTCATATGTTAAGCATCAAAGTTTCCCCTAATTAGAAGTAAGTGCATTGTCATTATCCACTCATAACTAAAATATAAAAATAGCATGTACCTGTGTGAGTCGCTCAATCTCTTGATCTTGCGCATCACATAACTGAATAAATGTAAGATTCAGTTTGATATTAACCATACAATTGTCACAAGCTAAATATTTATAAATTCCTGTTAAAACTCTTTCTATTATCGATGAAACATAAGCTGGGAATACTCTGTTTCCACGATTCAGTAAAAAATAGTTAGCAGCTACCAAGGGGACAAAAATTGGCAAATGCAGAGTACAAACCTCTTGGGTCCTTCTCATCAATAGCTGACTTTCTTCTTCCAGATAAATGCTGCTGTCCACGATTCTTTGCAACTTGAAAATCAAGATAATTGATAGTAATGCAAATTGAAGACTAAGAAAAGCTACAGGGCAAAGCTAACCCCCATTGGCTTTTTAACTAGTCACCAGTTACCACAACAACAAAAAAATTAAAATTGCAGACTGACATTTTTAAATATATAATATCTGCATGCTAACCACACTGATTGTCTCTGGAATAGGCAAGACGATTGCATATAAATTTTGGGACAAAAGTAATGTGACATTTTGGACAACAAAGGAGAAAGACATTATTTATCATAAAACATATGCAACGTCTCCAAATTTTTTTCTCTTGCCATGGCACTCAAAATGATCAAAGCCCTAGGCACAGTCTCCTCATCTGGAATGTATTCTAATATTGTTGATGCAGGAAAACACAAATATATCTCTGAGTCAATAAATCATGATCTGATTGAAGAGGAAGCACCTTGGAAAAGTAGCTTTATGTACAAAAATGGCTAGCCAGATGAGGGCCTGAGTGCAGCCTGACATTTGAACCAGACACATGCAGGCTTAACATCAACCAGAGAAGAGCCCAACACACTGGTAATTAAAAGAGCCTAACAAGAATCAGACACAGAAATGAGCCAGGAGTGGTAATTCAGCCAGAGCAGAGCTGGACAAGACAAATTATTGTTTAGGATGGGAAAACAGGCCTGTCAAAAGCCAGGCGTTGGCCTTACTGCACAAAAATTATTGGTGATGTACTTTTAATTAGTAATTGCTAAAAACTCCTGCCTTACTTATGCCTGAATTTGGCTGACCTTACAACTCAAAAAACACACATTCAAATAACAATAAAATAGTTTATTGGTAAGCAAATCTTAATACCCTTGCACACCAAAATACAATGAATATAATACACTGTGTCTTATCTCAAAATAAAGAATATGTGGGCAGCGATTCCACTTAGCTGCATGTCTTCTGGAAGCCAGAGATGTTTCCTCAATCTTGTACGAGACTTAAGGTTGCGATATGGCTTTTACTGCTGCTTTTGGAGTTTGTTCGCCCTTCTAGGCAGTCATGTAGCCTGTAAAAGAAGAAGAACTAAAGGTTACATTTTGGCAAACTGATTTGGTGCCACTCTTAGATACTAGTCCAAACTTGAACCATTTACTTACATTAACTGCAAAGCTGATCATTGCTCTTAGGCTGTTTAGGTGTATTTAAAAGGAGCAGTTGTGAGAAAAATTACCTTACGTCTCCTTTGACCTTTGGGATGATTGTTAACATTGGGCTTCTTCTTTTCACCAGTGCCATCCAGAAAAACAAACTCACTCTCGCTTTGACTTCAGACTTCCCTTGCAATGCTTAGGTCACAAATGAGATCTGCCTTTTGGAACATTTATCCAATTGAAGCAAAGGCATGTTAATTAACATTCTTAAGACTTACAATCCCACAAACCAACTTTTCATGTAAACACTGACAAAGAAGTGCACACTTGTAGCAATTTGTGTACATGCAATCTCTGATTGCGCGCCTTTATGCACCAAAGTTTCATTTTTACAACCCACCCTTAAATTTCCAATGGATTATGAACCTAACCAATGAAAATTGAATTTGAAACAATACTGCCTGAAAAACTTATGGCACAGACGGTTTATAGTTAGTAATCAACTTACTCTGCATTCATGCCAAACTTGTAGGCACTAAGCATTAATTGTGATGGATGTTTTCCATCTTTGAATGAAAATGTTGACTGGTTGGATCATCATGCAGGCTAATGCTGTATCACTACAGCTGTTTTTTGCATTCCTAAATTAGCACAGGACTAATATTCTTAAGAGATCATATATTACATTCAATTTGTTGTGTCCCTCAACATTTTTCCTGAGTGTGTAAACACTCAGGAAAAAGTTAAAAGTACTTTTTATTGTCGTTTGATAGGCCTCAAGTGAACCCATTTCCAAGAACCAGCAACTCATTAGATTTTCAGACAACGCTGAATATCCTTACACATTTTTATGTCAACATTTAATTCACCAAATTAAATTAACGCACCTAATTTCAGAGCCTGACAAGAGACTGTTGCAATCCAGATAAGCAATGTTTTAAAAATTTCTCATTGTGTCGATAGTTATTACCACTTGAAACTTGCTGCCACTTGAAAAGCATAGTTGTGTAGGGATATTCAGTGTTGTCTGGCTTTTTTTTTTTGCATTTGCTCTGCTCCTGATAGCCTTGTCCAGCCATTCATAGCCAAGACAAAAGCCTAACATTTGTTCAGCTTATTGGCAAGGAGCCAAACCATTTTTTTGTCAGGCTTTTATCATGTTGATTTCTGGCTGTGTGAACATTAATCAGTCCATAATCAGGCCGTGCTCAGGCTCTGTCAATTAAGCTTCAACTTTTCCTATGGGTTATTTCAAAATACCAGATTTTGCAAGTTCATAAAAACTACTTTGTAAAAAGTTCTTTCTACACTCCCAGCACCAACATGTAATGCACATCTATATACAGTAGTTTCTGGAGTTCTGCCAGCTACTTGATTGTATGTCGTGGCTACTCTGGTCATAGCAGACTGCTTGTGACAAACAATCTCACCTACTTCAAAGCCACCTACTTTTTCAGAGTGGGCTGCCTACTTCAAAACATTTTGAAACCCCTGATATAAATTATACAATATAATAAGCAATATTTATGTAACAAACATTCTTCACTAACATCAATACTACTTTTACAATCATACCCCATCAATGGTTCCTTGTTGCTGAGCACACTGCTGTCTATAACACTAAAATCAAACATTAAATACATTAAACATTAGCTAGTTGTAAGAATTAACACTAAACATTACATTGTTTAAAAATCAAAATGCTCACACATTGCAATACATAATGAATAATTTAAGTTACAATTTCACAAATTAAACAATTTTTTAGTGTGGCAGTCAGCTAGTCAGAGTAAGAAAAAAAAGCAAACAAAATTGAGGAAAAGATAAAAGAAGAAACACCATTTCTTTACAGATTTAATTTTCAGGTTGCCTAACTTGACATCTGATATCGCATTCTATAGAAAAAAGGGAGCACCACTTCAAGAAAATAAATAAAATGATACTAATATTTTTTGTGTAGATGGTATTAACAACTTCACCTCGAGCTCAAACTGGTATGCTTCAAGCTCTGAAGACCTTTCCCATAGGTTCTGAACAAAATAAACTAAAATCAGTAAACTAAGAATTTAATATTTGGTACATTTTTGTTTTATTTTCTGAAGATTTTTTTAAGTTCTTTTCATGCTGTTAACATTAAACTGACATCAAAATATTTAGTAGCAATTAGTTACTCACAGGCCTATTGGCAAAACCTTGTGCTGTTTTGATGGCTTTTGTCACGTAGACAGACTTTGAAAGTTATATCACATGGAATCTTCATTGATAGCATAAAATTATTTTGTTTAACAATAAATATACTTGCAAATGAGCAAAAAAAATAATCATTTAATTTAAAAATAAATTAGATATACAAGATCAGTACCTAGTTTTATTATTAAAAGAACAGTAAAGCTGTATAACTGTACATCATGATTGGAAACAAAGGATTTAAGTTCTAAAAAATTGACAAGACATGGTAAGTACAGCACATGTGGTAGTAAACCTAAAGCAGAGCAAAAACCATACTAAGCCACTCATCACTGAAAGATGACTTACTTGCGAAAAGTAATCACTGTTCTCAGTTGCATTATCAACTTCAGATAGACCAGTTTCTCCAACCACATCAATTTCTTGACCAGCCACACCTGTAATACTGCTCACAGAGCTATTTGCTCCTTCAGGGGTAAGTGGCCTTGATTCAGAGCTTGAAGTCCTTGAGTCGACTGAATACAAACGTGGAATGGTATTAGTCTGGGATGCTGAACCACCATTGTCCTCTTCATCTGCATCTTCATCTGCCTCTAATGCTGCTGCCTGCTGGTATTGGCTTGCAGAGGTTTCATGCACAGCATGTGCTGGTGGTGAAAAATCAGAGCCCCAAGGAATTCTTCTGTTCTCCTGCAAGATCTGTCCATCCTGATCCAATCGCTGGAAAGAGCAATTTTCTGAATAGAATAAGACGGATGGTAAATTTTGAGCTCAGTAAAGAAATAGAGAAGGATGTTTTTCGTCTTGTCACAAGTGCGGGACAAAGAAAACATTCTGAGCCCCCAAGAGGAATCAAACCTCAGAACTTTGCATTCCTTGCTCTGATGCTCTACCACTGAGCCATAGAGACTCCATGGTGAGCAAGGGCATCGTGATGTTCATATATGAGATGTCCTGCATACTGCTAGGATCAGTATAATTATATGCTATATATCCATGGCTATTGAAATTGTTGATCCAAGCAGTATGCAAGACGCCTGTCACATGTGAACTGTGCAATGACCTTGCTCACAGAGTTTCTGTGGCTCATGCAGTGGTAGAGTGCTGGAATGCTGAATCATATAGTCTGAGGTTTTGATTCCTCATGGAGACTCAGAATGTTGTTTTTTTTTGCCCCATGCTTGTGACTGGTCACAGGTTTCTGGTTGTACCTAGTTTCGAGTCACTTGAGGATAAACTATGATCTACGTTAATCTGCCACGTTGAACCCCTGTCTTTCATTTCATCTGTAACACTTGTGTCAGGCGTGGTAAACTGTTCCAATTGGCTTGCAGGGACTACATGGACAGCTGGTAAAGGTGCTGGTGATGACAAAGGGGGTTCCTCATCTGGAATTTGCAACAAGTTCTGCCGATACGAAGAAACACTTCTTTCTCTAGCTCCATCAACTACCAGATCATGATGCTTTCTATCATCAGTTCTCATTTCCATAGGAGTTTCTCTCCAAGTTTCCTGACCCAGGATATCTTCTGAAGGTGGTGGCAAACTCCACTCTGGCTGATTGTGGGACAAAGACCTAGTCTTCTGAGTCTTCTCTACAATTCCTCCTGGCCCAGATTGGGGACAATCAAAGTAAAGGTATTTATTGCTCCTACTTAATATGTAGTTGTTTACTACCAAAGGTTTTAATCCTGCAATGGACATA